TAGATTAACATCTGCAGTCCCCTGCATTTGGGAAAGTTCCAGATGATTTCCTTAAGCGTCCACTCAGCCCACTTGGACATCTTTATTTTGAGGAGGCTTAGGTGGGTTGGCCCCTGGTTTCGCAGAAGGCTGCAAGTGTTATCACACTTCGCTTTGTTACATTCACTATCTTAAAGTTGCATATTTCCCTCCTATAGCAATGTCAGGGATAATTGGCCACAGTAGTCAACCACATCGTATACTGAGAAGATAAAATAAAGTAAAATAAAATTTAAAAAATTTAAAAATGGCATGGATCACTGACGTAGTGAGGTTTAAACCGCTATGGAAGCCACTATTTTTGATGAGAAGAGAGAAAATACAGTTAAAGAAAAATGTGTTCAAAACTAATATTTTGCTGGCTGTCCTTTTACAAACCTTTCCAAAGATTATATAGAAGGTTAGAAAGTCAATTATGGTATACAATTAAATTTATCAATTAAGATAGAATGCTGTAATGAAATAAAAATGACCATAAATTTATTGATTTCCTTCCTCAAAAGAGGTGGGAACTTATCCTCTTCTCCTTGAGTCTGGGGTGAAAATGGTACCTTCCTTTTCCAAAAGAAGACAAAGGGAGATTTCTATTTTTTTTATTTTTTTTTTGTCCTTTTTGAGACCGGCTGCACCGCGCTCACTGAGCGCACCGGCCATCCCTATATAGGATCCGAACCCGCGGCAGGAGTGCTGCTGCGCTCCCAGCGCCGCACTCTCCCTAGTGCGCCACGGGCTCGGCCCACAAAGGGAGATTTCTTAAGACTGAATGAGAAAGAGACACTCAGTCAATCTGTAGCTATTTCAGCCCTGGCAGGAAGCATTATCAGGTGTACTTTTCTTGTAGTTCATCTCATGAAGTAATGGGCACTAATCTGGTTATTACTACCTTCATTATTGAGAAAAAGGATATATGGCTTTTAACATATATTAGGGAAGTGACAGTGATCCTAAACGCTGCATTCAATGTTGTAGAGCAGGGGGAATTCATCCTTATCTAGCCCTGCCCAAATGACAGATTCATGAGCAAAATGAATGGTTGTTGCTGGTTTTAGCCACTAAGTTTTATAGCAGAGCAATATACAACTAGAACAAATGCTGATGTGGCAGATCAGACCACATGTCTCGTCAGTGTGTACAGCTGCATCTGCCAAGCTAGGACCCCAACCCTTGCTCACACCAGAGACGTGGTGGTGCTTCTTGGTGATAATGCAAGGATTTTGTCCCATTGTATGGTCTCAATTACAAGGCTTATTTTTGGGATATTAGGTGAAAATACTAGGACCCCAACCCTCTCTCACACCAGAGATGTGGCGGTGCTTCTTGGTGATAATGCAAGGATTTTGTCCCATTGATGGGTCTCAATTACAAGGCTTATTTTTGGAGTCTTAGGTGAAAAGAAATAATAAATAAAATAAATAAATAAATAAATAACAACAACAAAAAGCAAGGCTTGTTTTTCAACCTCCAGATCAAACTAAAGCAGATCTGAAGCTCTCAGAAGTAGTGACCTTTGAGTTTTCAAAAAAGAGCTAGAGCACAGGGTTTGGCCATGGCATATGTCTATAGGATCCTATTCTCTGATCAGTTAAAGGAGGGGCTATTGCTTCCCTAATATACATTAAAAGCCTCATATCCTGCTTTTCAGTAATAGAGGCAGATATGACCAGATTAGCGTGCCTGCTTCAAATCTGAACCAACTACAAGAACAGTACACCTGACACTGCTTCTATCCCTGTGAATGTTCCTACACTAGCCACTATTCCAAAAGGCTGTGATGTCATGCAGAGCTTGGGTAGAGGCAGGGAAGTGGTGTTAGGTAATTTTCCATTAGTTTTCTCAAGAAGACATTAAACAAAATGATAATTTTGTGCAGCATAAAATCTTTTATATTCTCATATAGGAAAAACAGCTTATGCTACAGTAAAATCTTAGCTGTGTACAGAATAGTAATAAGTTTATATAACAAGTCAATGGAGCACATAGATACTTCATCGGAACTCATAGAAATATGTTAGTTACAAATTATGACAAGTCTCTACCATACGTAACAGGGTGTGCAGCTAAGGGAAATTATGAACTCTCAGAAATTTTTACTCCCAATCTCTATCTTTATATATCAACATGGCAAACATTATTATAAGACCTGCTGTACCGTACATCCGTCTTTATATATCAACATGGCAAATGTTATCATATGACAGTGTTTCAAGAAATTTTTTTATCCATTTCTGAGAAAAAATTTATTAATGGATATATTCCTATGAAGATAAATATTTATCATATCCTTTAAATATGACCTACAATATTTTTAGTCAGATGTCACTAGAAAAATTGGCATTTTTCAACTCATGCCATAAAACTCATTTACACCTGTCATTGACTACTCAATGTAAGAGCAATACAGATATAGAACTATCACCTACATGCTATTTCCGATCTGAATTAGAGCTGCAGAATAAAATACAGATATTATTCCAGAAGGAACATACTTTTTAGTGTTTAAAATCTATATTTCACATTACACTTTTCTGACTGGCAGGTATTATATCTTCTCAGGCAGAATTTTATCTCTCATCATAGACAGAAGCTCAAAACAAAATCTCATTCAATGTAATTATTTCAAATATCCAACTGTGTTCTAATTTTTTCTTAACTATGGTCTACCTCATAAAACATATATTTGGCTTTAATTTTGGATGTCCATTTTATAAAAGTTATATGTTAAATTTCTGTGTCTATGAATACTATCAACTTAGATTTTAGGAAATAATAGAAGTTAGAAAAATAATGCAAAACAAAATAAATGAAATTTCACCTGAAATGTTCTTAGCAAATTACTATTCTGACTTAATTTCAGGTAGTGACCTTACTCTTATGGGTTTTATTTACCTTATGGGCAAAGAAAGAAGGTTGGGCTAGATCAGTGGTCCTCAGTGAGGGGTGATTTTTTTCTCTAAAGAGGACGTTTGGCAATGTTTGGATACAGTTCAATTGTCACAAATAGGGAGGATGCTACTGACATGAGGAGAGGTCAGGGATGCTGCTAAACATTCTAAAATGTACAGATTCGGCCACCCTCCCCACACCACAAAGAAGTGTTGGCATAAAATGTCAATAGTGTTGCTTTCAGAAACCCTGGGCTAGATAAACTCTTAGCAGTTTTAATAGTTCACAATTACTTTGTAGTTTAGTTATCTTAGCGCAACATTTTGGGAAAAAAAATAATAAGCCATAGATTTCATATGAAACTGAAGTGCTTTTTTATGGCAATTTCTTTTTTTCAAAAAAATTTAATGACCATTAACACAATGGATGAGTGAGAAGAGGAAATGATCTTATTCTCTGAAACTATCTTCAATGTTCTTTTTTTTTAAATTTTATAAACAAGAGAATATACTAAAATTGCACAAACAATTCAAAATAGCCCATAAAATTCAAAAACTACTAAGAAGTTAAGAACAAATGAATGGTTTTGTTCTCTCTATTCACTCTTCATAGAAGGGCAAATATTCTAACATGATAAAGAGTCACTAAGCTGAATATTCAGTTTTAATGTCTTTGCATTCTGGCAACATCTCAGAATATTTGAAATGCTTCACAGATATTTAAAAAATGCCTTATTTCATCTGGGGAATCAAACCCCTACTACTCTCTTAAAATCAAATAGTAATATAATAATGGTAAAATAATTGATGTCTCTATGCTGTTACAGAGTGACAAGCACTGTCTAAAATCTTCACATATATTCAAGGATATGTATATAATTAGATCATTTAATCCTCATATACTAGTATTTAATCCTCTTGTATTTGCTAATTTAATCCTCAAAACATGCCATTTCAGTTGGCAATATCCTATTATGTCTATGTACATGGTTACATCTAAGTAACTAATTGGGTCATTTATATTTTCATAATTTCTACAAAACACGTGATTTCATAACTGCACACCACTTATCACTTCAACTCTATCAAAATAAAACGAAAAAAAAATGAAGACTGAAGGATCAAAAGCAACCACAGAAAAATATCTATGCTAATGAATAAACTTATCCCAGAGAAAGAACTGCTTATACTTCAACTGATCTGCATTGTAAATTTACAGAATGAAATTATCAGAGCAATTGTTTACCTCTTCTAGGAGACAGAACTTCAAACACTATGTCGATAACATACATAAGAGTCATTAGTAATTTATACTAATAAATTAGATTATAATCTTGGTTATATTCACAAACTTGCTTGGTTTTCACAAGAACCCACTGTGAGTAGAAGAGTTGTGGACCCTTGCAGCAATCAACTGAGCCTAAAGAGAGAAAAAGTTATATAACTTCACTCCTGTCTAACATTAGAGAGAGTATCGCTATGTGTCTTCTATTTGATTTGCTCAGAGCCAGTGAAACCACCACTACTGTCACTACCACCCATTACTGGTAATGTAAAAATTCCGTTTTAATAAATATAAGTGCAGAATACACTTTTCAAAACAAAGAAGGCTAGATTTATCCATTCATTCATCCATCTATTAATCTATGCATCCCTCCATCCATCCATCCCTTAAAAACACATGTAAGAAGAGTATGCAATATAACACCTTTATATGTACGTGTTAGAAAAAGAAGCCAATATATATTTGACCTGCTGCCGAGGATCTTCTAATAGGGTTGGCTGAGAAGTTCACATATACCTTCAATACAACCTATAAAGAATATAATCCATCAACATACACAATATTTGGAAACACTAATTGCTGTGTAATTATTATTCCTACAAATATTAATCCAATAATGTTTTTCAGAGTAAAAGAATTATGGAAAAACATTTCTGGAGGAGAACATGAAGCATTTAAAGATATCAATGCCTAAAAGTTGTCTTTATTTCTGTAAAATGATGATATGGTTAAATGAGTTGACACAAAGGTGATCCTGGCATAGTTGCTGTCAATGAGATGATCAAAATTCGTATTCATTTGAAAATCCAGTTTCTTTCTAATAGCTTGTTGAGTGCTTCTTTTACATCCTTGTTTCTGAAGCTGTAGATTATTGGGTTAAACATGAGAAAGAAAACAGTATAAAACAGTGCAACCACCTTATCAGTGTCAGGAGAGTAATCGGTGGTGGGGCGTAAGTACGTAAACAGGAGGGCTCCATAGAATAAGGTGACTCCTGTGAGAAGGGAAGCACAGGTACAGAATGTTTTGCTTCTGCCGCCTGAGGACTTGATGCTCAAAACAGTGATGAGGATGCAGAAGTAAGAGATAAATATGACCACAAAAGTGCTGGTCTGGATGAAGCCACACAAGGCAAAGAGCAGAAGCTCGTTGATATTGGTATCTGCACATGATAAAGCCAGGAGAGGCGGGATGTCACAGAAAAAATGGTTGACAATATTGGAGCCACAAAAGGGCAGCCTGAATGTGAAGCAGACATGGACCATTGAAGTCATGGTTCCACCTAAATATGCCAACACAATGAAGCAGTTACATACTCTCCTAGACATCAGTGTGGAATAGAGCAATGGTTTACAGATGGCTGCATAGCGATCATATGCCATTGCTGCCAGGATAAGGCACTCGGCATCAGGAAAACAAGCAAAGAAAAACATTTGCAGTACACAGCCATAGAAGGAGATGCTCTTCCTGGACGCTAAGAAATTTACCAGCATTTTAGGAGTAATTGCTGTAGAATAACTGATGTCTAAGAAAGACAAGTTGCTAAGCAAATAGTACATGGGGGTTTGAAGGCTTGAATTGATATTAACTAGGATGATTAAGCCCGTATTTCCCACCACAGTTAAGGTATATACTATGAGAAAGACCAAGAATAGTGTGATTACAGATGGCTGCATAGCGGACATATGCCATTGCTGCCAGGATAAGGCACTCCGAATCAGGAAAACAAGCAAAGAAAAACATTTGCAGTACAAAGCTATAGAAGGAGATGCTCTTCCTGGACGCTAAGAAATTTACCAGCATTTTAGGAGTAATTGCTGTAGAATAACTGACGTCTAAGAAAGACAAGTTGCCAAGCAAATAGTACATGGGGGTTTGAAGGCTTGAATTGATATTAACTAGGATTATTAAGCCAATATTTCCCACTGCTGTTAAGGTATATAGTATGAGAAAGACAAAGAATAGTGTGACTCTGAAAGGCTGATAATCTGTGAATCCAACAAATATGAACTCAGTTGGCATGGTATAATTACTCTCCAGCATCTTCTTAGTTTTCTTTTTTTTCTCATCAGAGATAGATGGTGTTAGAAGACATGAGTTGAGTTTGCTGATGGATGAACCCAAAATACCTTTATTCTTCCTTCTACAGAAGCAAGTAGAAGGTGAGTATAATCACATATATGGCAATTTCTCTGACAGTAATTTATTTTTTTTTCATTTTTAAAAGGAGAAAATTAGAAATCATCATTGATGCCAGACAATGCCATTCAGAAGGTGGTGTTCCTTGATGTAGTAGCTCTTTAAATGCTGTGCACTTTACATCATGATGTTACCTCTTTTTAAGCTGAGAGAAGTGAATATGACTCATGTGATGAGACCTGGCATAATAATGAGAGTTGGCAAATATTTTAGAGGAAAGCCCTATTTTTATAATCATAAAATCACATTCTTCTGTGTAAAGGAGAGTTGAGAAAAAATTTGAAAGAGGTCCATTTTTAAAATCGATAATTCCACAGAAGAATAGGAATTATCTTGAAATGTAGTTTAACATAATATTTAAGATCATGGAAGTTATGCAAGAGATAATGGGATTTAAAACTTGGCTTTACTACTTACTGTTTGTGTGACCTGGGTAAAGCTATTTAACCATTCTGTGATAAGTAGATATTCCTAATAAGTAGACGTTTGTAAATCATCTGTGTGACTAGACATAAAAAACATTATATGTGCATTTATTAAATAAACTTTATTAAAAGCAAATGGACTCCCTTTTGTTTATATTTGTTGTTGTTGTTCCCACACTTTTCTTATTTTTCAGATGGGGTGCTAAATCACATTCACAAGATCGTCTGACAAGTGGCATTTCGATTCATTATTTTAATGACTTTATATCTTTAGGCTATAAACAGATTATGAGGTCAAAGTCATATTTTTCTTCTTTGCGTTCCATGATGCCTACAAAACTGTTTGGAAGGTTTCTATAGTCAATTGTTGAATAATCCACTAAGCATCCAGGACAAGGTCACTTTTCTCAGTGAATTCATATCACACTGCTCTGAACTTAGATCAGAAAAAGTCTCCTAAAATGAGTTGGACCCCACTGGATTTCAGGGAAATTTCATCTATAAACCTTGTTTTTCTGAAAGGTGTCCATTAGTGAATTTTATATTTGTTAATATACTTGATGAAGATATGACAGAAATATTAGAGCTATACATTCAATCTATTCTCTCTCCTCTACAAATAGCATTATGTTATATAGTGATTAAGCACACAGGACTTGGAATTAGGCAAACTCGAATTGAATCTCGGTTCTGACATTAGAAGTCATTGAACTTCTCTATTCCTAAATTTATTTGTTATATTTAGCTATAATAATTCTTGAAATCAAGAAACTTATTATAGTACCTTTTACAGGGCTTGTTGTAGATGCATAAAATTCATTTATTCTACATTATATATTAAAATTATTATTACAATTAATGCAAATATGATTATTTAATACTTCAATATCTGACTTTCAAATTATAAATTCTCCTAATTTTTATTTGTAAGAACAAACACAAAACATTTAACCATACTTTGGGTGAATATATGGTATGTGCTCATAGATTCTGAGGTTTAGCTTTCTGATGTAGGAAATTAGATAACTGACTTCCCAAAATTCATGAATATCATGGTAAGTGTTCTTCTGATGGCAATAAATTACATAACAATTTGGGCAAAAAAAAAAAAAAAAACCTACAGAGTCAGCAAGGGTACATTTCATCTATGGGAAATCCATTAGCTTTGCAATGTTCACAACAGATATTTTATTAATACTTTTGGGAATGAATTACCTACCTTAGTACCATCTAGAACTTTGAATTGTAGAACTTCTTTTGCACAAGAGGCTGACAAGATTTTTCTCCAGCTTTTAGAAATAGGTCTTATAAGGAATGAGTATTTATATTCTAATTTATGGCAAGTGGGATATTATCCCAAGACAGTCTCCAACCCCAGTAAGACTTTGAACAGGAAATTACTCTATTTCTCATGGTGTGGATTGGTTGATTTCTTTTAAATAAAAACGGTGAAGAATAGTAACATAATTGACCATGATGTTGCCAGTTACAACATTACATTTGTCTTCATCATTGGGATATCTTTGATTAAAACAAAAACAAATACAAACCTTTAAGTCTACCAGACAATTAAAAAATAAATACTTTTCCTGTAAATTCTATGATTTCTGTCGATTCCCTAATTTTCATTTATCTCTCTACTATCTGAGTGAATGGAAGGAACAGTGCCTTGAATGTCGAGTGGCAGGAGTAAGAGCTGGTGGCTCAGACAAGCTGTATTTTAATGTTAGTTTCACCATTTCACAATTATGGGACCCTGAGCTACTTATATGCCATATATATATATATATATATATTTTTTTTTTTTTAACTGTTAATAGTGAATGCATACCCCATCAGATTCTTGTGAGGACAGAAATAACACAGGGAAGTGTTGAGGATCTTGTTTCATGATTGTCAGCTTTCTTTAGCAATTACAACAGTATTTTCAGCACTACTTTTTTTAACACTTTAAAATGTAGGTCTAGATTTTAGCATTCTTTAAATGATTGACAATGGCAGTCTATTCCTTAAGACACATAAGGTGGACAGAGTGGAGAATGGATAAATACAGGATCCCATTGGCCTCTTTCCTATACCTGATGGGAATATTGAAATCAGTTTTGCTGCTACTAGAAAGATGTCTTATTAATAGGTGAAAAATCAGTGTATTTTTTTTTAAAAAAGTATCATCGTACCTCAGTAAAAAAATCAATATTATTTCCATTTATCTTGGTATATACCCAGCAGTGTTGAAGGGGAACCTGTATTCCCATGTTTATTGCAGCACTATCTACAACAGCCAAGAGTTGGAACTAGACTAAATGTCCATCATGAGATGAGGGGAAGCATATCTACACAATGGAATACTATTCTGCCATTAAAAAACAAGACAAAACAAAATACTACCATTCGCAGGAACATGGATAGACTTAGACAAAATTATATTAAGTGAAATAAGCCAGGCACAGAAAGAGAAATACCACAAGTTCTCATTTATTTGTGTGAGCTAATAAAAATAAATAAGTAAATATAAAAACAAACTGGGGCTGGTGGGGGGGAGAAGACACACAATCACAACAAGTCCTTGATTTTTTTAAGACAATCGAACAGATATGATGTTGATGGAGGGGATGGGGAAAGGGAGGGAGGAAAAGGAGGAATTGTTAAAGGTACACGAAAGTCAACTACATCGTATATTGATAAATTAAAATAATAAAATAAATAAAACTAAAAATTAAAAAAAAAGCAATGCGTGAGAGGAATTAAGAGCTTTTAATACACAGCTGAAGAAAACTAATGAGCGTGTTAGCGGCAGTCAAAGTTCAGCTGCTCTCTGGTCAGAAACAAAAGACTCGTCCATCCCAAGTGTTGCTGCAAAGCAGAAAGTTTATCATCAAACATCTTAGGAGTCAGCAAAACTACAATTGTTTTATAGACTTAGAGTTATTTGTGACGGTTGAGGTTTCATAAGACAAAAAGACAATGGGAGGTGCGTATTGTAAAATGTCTCAGGAATAGGGTCGGTGAGTACACGCAGATCAGCATGTTTTAATCCCTGTCTTTATGCTCCATTCCTGTAAAGACTGAAATCAGACTTCCTGGCTATGACTTTATCTCCTTCCCAGACCATCTGCAACTTTAAACAAGACTGTTAGTTTTGCAAGTTACTGAGTTACGTCCTTACTTTATTACTCCTACAAATTGCAGCAATTGTCCATCGTTCAAGCAGAATTATTTTCTCAGCATTAAACTCTAACATGGCTTTCCTTATGCTGAGCTAATATTTGTGGTGCTCTATTAAGAGAAGGTGTCCAAATTATTTTTTTCTTTCTTTATTCCTTTTTCATTTAATAAACATACAGGCTTGGCAAAAAGAAACAAAGCAAAACAAAAATTTTCTAGTTGTGTATATTAAGAATGGTACTGTAAAAATGTTCCATTTGTATATGGAATGTATGTATTACTAAAACATGAGGATTGTGCTTAAATTTAAGGATATTGCTGTGTTTTTTGAACAGCAGTATTGTCAGGGACAGAAGTAAAACAACTTTGCTCATTTAAAGCAGAAAATTAATAAATTCAAAAGATACTGGATAACTCACAGAAATGATGAGAAACCTGGAAAACTAGTTGAGAAACCTGGCAGGAGCCAAAGGAAACGAGACAAGAGTGAGGATCTTACCTAGGGAAGAGTTTGTTTACTTACATTTGCCAGCCATTTGTATCTCCAATTGTTGTGAATAATCTCTTATTTTGCTTGACTTTCTCAAGACTCAAAAGCCAGGTATTAAATTTTTGATCAGCCAAAAAGTAGGGCCAATACCCATGCTTTAGTTTCTAAGGAGTAAGGAAATAAGTACTTACCTACTTAGCTTCAGTTATGGGGCCAGAAAAGTCACTGTGGCATTCTTTATCCAGTTTAGTGGAATCACTGTTGTGTACCTTTGAGGAAAACTTGGTCTTCTGTGTACAACAGCGTCTAAAGAAGATGAGTAAAGAGTTGTGAGTGTGTCATTAGTTGAACACTGAGTTCATACCAGGAAGTCCATCCACATAAAACTCCCTTGAACCTTCCCTTCACTACTGATTGCAATCCTTCAGATTCCTGATCACCTGGCCAAACCAAAGCAGGTCTCTTCTACTAAGCAATGTGAATGAAAATATTTATTTCTGGAAGCTCTGCTTAATGACTACATTCTCTAATACTCTTTAAATTTCCCAAGTTTGGTGTATAATACTGCAGCAACTCATTCTTTGCAGTAACCACTATAGCATATAGAACCAGCTCTCTCAACCAGGCTGTGTGTGTGTGTGTGTGTGTGTGTGTGTGTGTGTGTGTTTCTAACTCTTGTTCTAACTAGTCATGGAGTGCTTCACCTTACTATAGGTTGAGTAAAGTGAAGTACAACACTGTGCTAAAAAAAACTAAGTGTAAGCCCCTTAAAAATTACTTGAACCTTCAGAATTCGTTCTGAATTATACTCTACGTTCATAATTAAACATTCAGCACACATGAATACCTGGTGCCCGATGGTCAGGTATTAATTTCAAATAGACCTAGTAAAAAGACAAAGCTTATTTCTGAAAATGACAAAGGTAAAATTGCAGAAGCAAAATTTTATCTATTCAAAATTTCCAAAAGCTTTGTCACTAAATATATCATCTTCATATGCCAGTGTCAAATTTGGGAGGGTGGTATGAAAAGTACTAAGGTATAGAACTGCTTGCATTGTGGTCTGGTGAACCCTTTCTTGCTTTGTTTTTTAAACAAAGTTGTCAGTCTTTAAGAGGATCCACTATATGGGTCAAAAGTGTATTCACTCATATAGAAAATTGAATATAACTGCTTTAAGTGGTAGAAAACACAAGACTTAGAATAATGTGCTTCCATGTTAGGGACATCCCAGTAAGTCCCCATATAACTGATATCATGGAAACAAGCTTCTAATTTGCTGATATTTCCAGGTTTCCGTATTGCTTTCATCTTCAAGATGGTGAATAGTTGTATTCTTTCATGAGATACTATGAGGCAAACTATTTTTTTTTTCCCTGCAGAGGCTGGGATTTACAAATTTAGATACAAAATGCTAAATATTCTTTATGTCTCCTGCCAAGAAAAAACAAATGACTTGGCAAGTTTGCTTTTGATTTGTGTTGTAGAGAGGGAGGGAAAGCACTGTACAGATTAAAAGCTATATTGAGGGTACTATGGGCTGTACTGGAAGAGGATCACATCTGGAATAGTACAATAAACGGAAGCAATCTGGTGATGAAATTCATAAAGCATAAGCAACTCATATTTTTGAAGATTCATTTATCTTCTGTACTGGACAAACTAAAGAGCCAAATTGCAATTATATGAAAAACAGTTCCAGCAAGTTTTTTATATTGCTGTTATGCAGCAAAGGGTGAACTCAGTGGGCCTGGGCTGCACAAACTCTCCATGTTCCATTGGTCTTCAGCATGGGCCCTTATCACTTCCTGAGAGATATCTTCTAAAACCTTGGCATATTCTGCGTTATAAGAGCACTTTTGTATACTTGGGCCCAGGTCATATAGTTTATGCTGATAATATGAGTGATGGTGAATGTCTGTTTTTGAATAGCTGGAGCTTCGGACTGTGATGAATCAGGTTGAACCGTGGGGTGAGGCAGTTGGGGACCAAGTAACTAAGAACAGACATGTGGGCTCTCCAGGTCTACGTCAGTACCCTAAATAAAACTCTGGACATCACGGCTCAGGTAAGCTTCTCTGATTGGCAGGACATCACATGTGTTGTCACACGACACTGCTGGGAGAGTTAAGCGCCATCTGTGTGATTCCATTGGGAGAGAACAACCGGAGGCTCATGCTTAGCTTGTTCAGGAAATGTTCCCAGACATTCTTTTCCTTTTTGATTTTATTCTGAATCTTTGTGAAGGGGGTTCACTGTGTACTGGTTATCAACCTGCCTGAGTCCAGTGAGACAACTTTCACACAAGCAAGTTACATGAAGCAGCATTATTACTTAGAGATAGGGAGCAAGAGACAACAGAAGCCTAGAATTTCTTCTGAGCTGGTCCTGTAAGACTCAAGAAAGCTGCCTGAGGTGAATGGAATCTCATTTGCACGTGTCCCATTTACACAGCAGCTGAAGGATCCCAGAAAGCATCTCACTCTGGGTTCTATACCCCAGCATTACATGGATCACTGGGCTAAAACCTTGAAGGACATATTGTTTCTAGGGTGGGGGTTGGGCTGAAACAGAGCCTGGGGTCCTCTGGCCAGTCTTTCCCTTATCTCAGGATAATGCATTTCCAGCACATTCTACAGTTATTCTTACAAAATACAAGTGAGAAAGGAGAAAGAACTGGGTTGGTCAACATCCACCATAAGATCCATCCTGCAATCTTTAGTTGCAATAAACCATAACCATAGTATGATAACTTTCATGAGTTCTTTGAGTCCTTGTAGTAAATTACTGAATGTGACGGTAATCTTCGGGAACTCTGATGCCAGCACTGAATTCTAAAATGGCATCAAGTATTTTTCTCTTTTTAAAAATTAAGATTTCAAACTTCTTTATATTATGTAGAATATGAAACAGTTTGTTCACTCTAAAAATATGAAATAAATATGTAAATGAGAAGGCAAATTAAATGAAAGCATTTACTTGAAATAAATAACTCACCCCCAAAATTAAATTTAAAAAAAGAACTTTGAGTATTGCCAAAATCAGTAGTTCTCTCTGGTCATCCACATTATCTTGCTTCCCTGACAGTGACAACCACTCTTGTGTATTTTTTATTATTTCTTTGCTTTCAATTTTAAAAGTAAACTTATCAATGTTCCTAAAACTACTTTTAATAAGTCATTTTTTTGGAGGGGGCCGGCCCCGTGGCTCACTCGGGAGAGTGTGACGCTGGTAGCGCTGATGCAGCAGGTTTGGATCCCCCATAGGGATGGCCGGTGCACTCTCTGGCTGAGCGTGGTGCACACAACACTATGCTGAGGGTTGCGATCCCATTACCAGTCAAAATTTTTCAAACGTTATAAAGGTGATGTTATGAAGTCTTTCCTTTATATTGCTTATGTTTTTCTTTAATAATATTTTTCAAGCATTCTCCCATGTTCATACATATTTCTGCAGTCTTTAATTTTAAAATTTGTAGTATTTTCTTCATTAACATATTGTAATTAAATTGCTTATGACCTTCCACCAGGACCAATGCTGCTGTGAATGTCACTTTACGTGACACTCAGAGCACATGTTTAAGAGTTTGTCCTGATCTGGTGCAGCAGTTTTGGCACTCACTGAATGGAAAGTTTGCTCAACTGTAATTTTTCAGTCTGAATTGTGTAAGCTGAACCCATTGATATGTTTATGGCATTCGCAATTGTTTCTGCTGCTAATCTCTGGTGCACTTCAGTTAGAGCATGAACAAGATTAATTTTTCCTCACAAATTAATGTGCATGGTCTGTCACTGCAGGCTTCAATTTCAATATTGTCTCCTTTCTTCTTAAAATGAGTTATTCATTTGTAAACTGCTGAATTCTTTAGGGCATTGCCCCCATAATCTTTGTGTAAAGCATTGATGGTTTCACCATTCTTGCACCCGAGCTTCGTAGTAAATTAGATCTTTGTTCTTGCTTCAATTTTACCAGAAATCATGTTGCTCTGGTAGGTTCTTTTTTTCCTTTTTTATTCTTTTTATTTATTTATTTACTTAAACATATTTATGGGGTGCAAAGTTGACTATCATTATTTGTGTACAGTATGTGTTGATCAAATCAATATTATTAGCATGTTCATAATTATAAATCATAACTACTCTTTGTGTCCTTTTCCCAATTACTCCCTAACCCCCTTCCCCCTCCCCTTTCCCATCTCTAGTAACTATAGGTCTGTTCTCTGCTTCTGAAAGTTCAATGCCAAATAAGTTTTTAAATATGTTCTGGTATGTTGGTGCATCCCAACACTTTATATATCATGATACACATTAAAACGATAATAAATATAGATTGAGATCAGGCTACTGCCAACCCGTCCAAGTCACCGCATATCTAAGCCACAGTTTTGTCATCTGTAAAGTAAGAAGAAAACAAAGGGCAACCTCAGAGGGACATTATGAGGATTAAATGAGATAATAAATGTGTAAACCACATACAGTATATCTTTGAGGTGTTTCATGGTTTGCTTGAGCACAGAGTCACACTGTCATGTACCTGCTGGCTATTTGTAGGCCTTGCTTTGAAAATTGTCCGTTCAGCTCCTTTCCCCCCTTTTAAATTGGATTATTTGGGTTTTCTTTTTTTTTTTTTTACTGTAAAGTTGTTTGAGTTCTGTGTATATAATGGATACTAAAAGTTTCTGCACAACAAAGGAAACAACCATCAGAGTGAAAAGACAATCTACTGAATGTGAGGAAATATTTGCAAACCAAACATCTGACAAGGAGCTCTTTTCAAACGGATGTCTTATCCTTCTTAGCACCTTGAACTAGATCCTGTACCGACATGCTGTAACAAGTTAGTATGAGTTTAGTATGGCGTTGTAGTGGATTAAATTATGTCCCTCCAAACTTCATTGAAGCTTGAATTGTGTGCTCCAAGTTTTATGTATTAGAAATTTAGCCCCCAGTGTTACTTTAAAGAGGGTGGGAAATCCTATTATGGTCATTGTAAGGTGGGTTCTTAAAAAGGTGATTAGATTATAAGGATTGGATTTTGTCCCCCCACCCCCAACTTTTATGTGGTGGAGGCTTAGTCCCCACTGTGACAGTGTAAAGAGGGTGGAAAATTCTATTATAGTAATTGAAAGGTTGTGCCTATATGAGGTGATTACTTTGTAGGATCATGATGTAGTGAATGGATTAATAATGGTGGTCAGGGGCATGGTTCTCAGGGCTTTAAAAGGTGAGCACATGAGAGTCTCTCTCTCTGTTTTGCCATTTTCTGCCATGTGATATCTCTTCTTTGCTATAAAGCCACCACTAAAGAAGTCCCTCACCAGATGTGTTCCCTAGACTTTGGACTTCCCAGCCTGAGAAACTGTAAACAATACATTGTGTTTTCTTATAAATTACACAATTCCACGTCATTTTGTTATAAGCAATAAAAACAGACTAATACAGGCACAGACACACAAAAATTACTTTTTACAGAACAACAGCATGTTGATATGGGAACAGAACAGTCAAATGTAAAAAGCCATATTGAGCTGGAAACTTTATGCTCATGCTTGAAGTGGTTCTCCCCATAAATTGAGAAATGTTAAATTCTTACATGTTGCAATGAGTAAAATTTTTATAGAAAATAATTGTTTTGAATCCTTCTTTATAAGATTTGTTAATGAGCCAGGCTTTTCTATCCAGGGGCTCTCATGATGTCTGAGAAAACATCATAATTGGAATAAAATAATCTTAATTTCTGAAAGATAGAATTGTCTTTGCCTGTATAGCAGTTACTCCACAACCACAAATGCTTACTTTTATGAAACAAACTACTATTTAAAGATGCGAAAACAAGCAGAGAATGTTCAGATGATGTTAACAAGAGATACAATTTCCTGAAAAGTTCTATTTACAGGAATTATAAAAAATATAATAAGGCAGGTAAGAAATCAGTAAAGAATTTGAACAGTTTTCTACAGGTAATATCAGACAATTAACAGTGTATCATCTTCCAGGCCATCTGTGCACTTTGCCTGTATTTGGGAAAGGAAGAGTGAATGAAATTATGTTCCATGGAGACATTGCAGGAAAGACTGGTCTGTCTGGAAGAATTGTTTGGAAAAATACATCCAAATAATTGCAAAGAGAAGGCTATAACTAGCAATTTAGGTGTGAAGAGGGAGAAGAGATATTCCCACTGGGAAGTGATCACTCGTATTTTCGCTATAAAGGGCACATCCTGTTTCAAAAGTAGGTTCAGTTTATTTAAAAACAGTATAGATCTTTCACAATTTAAATATTTAAAATATATGGAAACTTCATCAGTGAGAAAGAAGTGACTTCAGCAATACTGAAAAGGTAAATCTAAACTATTAACACTTTTATTATATTTCAATGTGGGAGATAATGAAGATATCTTGGTATGAAAAATTTTTCATTATTTAAAACAGCACTGTAGACTTATGACTTTCTGAATTAAAAAAGCTAAATTAACAAATATGTTCCAAGCATTAGAAATAAGTAAAATTCGAACATATTTGTCTATTAGCAATTATAATAACATTAAAATTATTAATTTTAAGAAATAACTTTTTAAGAAAACTAAAAGGAAAGAATGATGTGTCACATACAAATTAATTAAATATATATTGCCATACTGATAATAAAAGAATAGTTATCATAATGAATAAAAGCATTTTTATGAAAAGGGTCTCCTATTATTAGTGAATCTCCTTGTATTAGAGATAATATAAAACATTATTTCTTCCAAATTATAAATTTATTTGGCCTATTTACTACTGTTTATGTTGTATCTAATCAAATATGACCATAAACATGGTAGAATTGGACACATACCCAAACACATCGCTTTGATTTTTTTACTGGAACACTTTATTTGAACTAAAATAGATCAGTTTACTTAAATATCAATAGGATTAAAAATAGTTAAATGCAGAAAGGTAGTTTTTTGCAATAAAATGTATTATAATTTAGTAAATAAGAATAAGACTTACTGGGACTTTATTTCATTGACTGTTAGAGATTTGGCTTTTACACTGTCACTGAACCTTTAATCGTCTTCTCTGCCTTCAGGAAAAATAACCAATTCTAATACCGAATTGTACTTTCAATTCAATTCAGAATCGTATGTGAAGTGATACATTAGAACTTAGAATTATACTATACTCTATATAGAATGAACCATGGAATGTAATGTCCAAGGTAGAAAAGACACATGAGCAGTCAAATAACAGCTCAGAGGGCTGATCAGTTGATCAGAGTGTTATTCATAGTCCAGAAATTATATCATGGGCTTGATTGATTAGAAGAAATTTCTTGGAAGTTGGTCAATCTGATAGTTTAGTTGATATTTTCAGTTTTCTGTAAGTACTATTGATGTTTTTTGTCCTCGTAATGATAGGTACTGTACTTATGGACTTCATTTACTTTCTTAGGTACTAATGTATATACAAACTTGTAGTTTATGGAGTTTGTTTCTTATCCCAGTATTTCTGTCATGACATTGCTTTGTTTCAGGCCTTTACTTACTAAGTAGAATAAAAAGTCCTTCTTAAGAGTCCTACAAAAGAGAGAATGAAGAGGACATATTTCAGGAGAAAATGTGAAATTAGGACAGGAAGAAAATACTCCAGGCCTGCAAAAAATAGAAAATGTTCAAAAATTAATATATTAATTTAAAAGAATAAACTACCTGTTTAACTGGAGAATTTTCTATTTTCAGGGTTATAAGCAAAGGATCTTAATGCAAAATATAATACAGTCACATTGAATGGCACAGAATCAACTTAATAAATGGTAACTGAGGTCTTACAGAATTGTCACATGTATTTCTCCCAAAGAACCAGTAAGGTACATAATAGGATTGCCTTTATTAAAAATAAGAATTAGAAGTATGAATGTTATTTTTTTTTTTCTATGTCAGACCAAAGGATGTAGAAAGAATAGTGGTATAGAATTGAAATTCATGGGGCCGGCCCGGTGGCGCACTAGATAGTGCGCCGCTTGGGAAGCGCGGCGGCGCTCCCGCCCGAGGGTTCGGATCCCACATACGGACCGGTTCCCGCTCACTGGCTGAGCGAGAGCAGCATCGAGGGTTGCAATCCCATTGCCGGTCCCCAGTCCGGTACGGGGGCAACACTGAGGGTTGCGATCCGTTGCCGGACACGGAAAAAAGACAAAAAAAAAAAAAAAAAGAATTGAAATTCATAATATTTGAAAATCTTGGAAAATTATTAAAACATTTTAATTCTCAATTTCTTCACTTGGCATAAAAATAGTGATAAAATAAGTTATTTTCAAACAAAAATAGTAAAAAAAATATAAATAGAATTAAGGAGTAATTTATCCATGGGCATTAATATAATTCAGTGACACTAATATGTTAACTATGGTAAACTTGGTTGAATTAAAAAGATGAGATTTATGTGTTTTAGAAGGTCACTTTGGGTTTTTTTTGTGCAAAATGAATCGTAGGTGGGCAAGGCAATTAGAATCATCCTAGAAATTAGAGGGTACATTTAACTAAGGAGTTAGGAATGGAGATGAGAAGCAAAATATTTTGAAGTTTTGAGAGCAGTAGGTGTTGTACTTCAACTAATTTGGGCTTATGCCATCATTGGAGAACTTGAAATTTTGGCAAATGCTAGAAATCAACACATCTCTCAACCTGATCTCCTGCCTCTTCCCCAAAGCACTATTGCCGGTACACCAGAAGTCAGCACAGGTTGATAGAATTCACATAGGTGTGAGAGGAAGCCATAAATCACTCTGAACATTTTGCTGGGAATGGATGGATTATAGTAGAATGACTAGGTGAGACTCCTTTGGAAGAAACATCACAATGAAACACCCAAATGAACCAGAAAGACAACTAAATTAAGCATATTTAGATACAGTATGAGGAAGATTGGTTAGTGAGAAGTTATTGAAATTTGTGTAAAGTTTTTCTAATCTCTTAATTAAGAGTAAGGTGTTACACTCTCTTTGTCACCTCTCTCCCCCTGGGTGACAGAGATGCAAAAGGATTACTCAAAGCCCATTTCTTCTGAGCAGTGGGAAGCCCCAAAGGGGTTAATTTTCCAGGAACCCTCAAGAGAGAGGCATTCCTCCTTGGAAAAATAACCCTGACCTGGGATTCTTTCTCAGTATTTATTCTCCAGGCCAGAAAATTATAGAAAAGGAACATAGGTGGAGTTATGGCTAAGTATAGTTTAACAATAGAAGCTGGTAATATCAGTGAAATAACAAATTGACATTCCATAATGCAATTTGTAAAAGGTCAAGTCAATCCACCAACAAAAGCTTGTTTTTAGCAAATACTTTCTTTTCCTACAGCAATTTCCTCAGTATGTTTACATAACAATCAAGTAATTTTAGTTTAACCTGCACCAAGTATATCTGTCCTTGAGACAGCCATTTTACTGTCTTACAATTCTTTATCTATAACAGAGACTTTATCCTGGGGAAAGTTTCCTGTCTTTTGCAAGCTTAACATTTCTATACGTAATTTTAAAAGGTTAAGTTATACCTGAAATTACAGGGCTTTGGAAGCTAGGCCCTGTGAAATACATTTGCTTCATAAACGTTAGTATACTCCACAGTAAGGTAGTATAATCAGTTCAGAAGGATGACAAGCTGTGTAGAATGCATAAGGATAGATCTTTGAGGAGAAGAGGTACTATTAACCTAATTGTACTTAAAAAGTGGTAGAATGGGGCCGGCCCCATGGCACACTGGAGAGTGCGCCACCTGGGAGCGCGGCGGCACTCCCGCTGAGGGTTCAGATCCCATGTGGAGACCGGTTCCTGCTCACTGGTTGAGCGTGGTGTGGGTGCAACACCAAGGGTTGCGATCCCATTGCCGGTCCCTGGTGCAGGAGCAACACCGAGGTTGCGATCCTGTTACTGGTCAGTAAAAAAGATAAAAAGGAAAAAAAAAAAAAAAAAGTGGTAGAATGAAGAGAGCAAACATACAAAGTTTGATAGTAACTTTAAGCAGAATCAATCACTTATTTCCTATTAGTGTTCACTATTTAAAATGGGACCAAAGGAGATGTGCATTTTTCTTGAGTGCCTTTCTCTCAGACGTTCTAGCCCATGGTCAGAAAAAGGAAAATTTTGTTGTAACTAAAGCCCTGTTTTTACAATGGAGGGAATATAGGGAAAGAGGGTTAAAGGTAGTTGAAAGAGCTATTAGAACGTTGAAGCTTCGATTCTAAACCTAGAAAAGAGACAAATATTAATGTAATTGGGTAATAGAAAATAAAAATAATTGTTGAATTAAATGGATTATGCATCTTGAGGTTTTAAAATAATAATTATTAAACACAATTATTACAATATAGGAGACAGTGATAGGAAAATTTGTGAAAAATGATGCATACATTCAATGGTTTACACATTCAGTTAAATTAATGAAGCAATGACATAAAAATGGAAAATAAAAATGTTGAACCTTCTTATTCCTTCGGTGACAAATGTGTGAAAAAAATTATTTCTATTTAAGTATAATGATGTGAGGGATTAAAATTCTATGTATAAATGAAAAAAAAAGACAAGCAAAAGACTTCAAGGAGATATTTGAGACTTAAAGGAAGAACAATATTTGAAAAGACAAGGAAGCAAGTCTCTCTAGAAAGAGGTGGTTTTACCTTCGGGTGAAGAAAGGGGACAGAAGGGGAAAACAAATAATGATTCTATATTTATCTGGAAGAAAAAGCTCATTTGCACTATTCCTATGGTATTCTAAGTTGAATAAAATGTATAGCTATATGGATCTTATTGGTAGGATTAGAATGCAAATCTAACATTTTAAATCAATTGTTTATTGGTTGATTTTTTTCATTGCAGATAAGTTCATTGTTCCTAGTTTACATCAAATCTCTCAGAATCACAGAATGTAAGTCTCAGAAAGAAACTGAGAAATTACAAAGACCAAAACACATGTCCCAATTTAATTATTAAAGCCAAAAATTCAGCCAAGAAATGTAAATCCACAGAGAGAAAACAAGTTGAAAATTACAGAAACAAATCTCGCTACAGTGATGGAATTTGTTCTCTTGGGCTTTTCTGATATTCCCAAATTTCGCAGGTTTCTTTTTGGGGTATTCTTAGTCATGTACATGATCATCCTATTTGGAAATGGCATCATAATTCTAATAACAAGAATAGAGCCTACTCTTCAACCCCCCATGTATTTTTTTATCAGCAATTTTTCTTTCCTAGAAATCTGTTATGTTTCTGTCACTCTTCCTAGAATGCTCATGGATCTTTGGACCCAGGAAGGAAATATTTCTTTAGTTGCCTGTGCAACACAAAGGTGCTTTGCTGTTATTCTGGGAGTCACAGAGTCCCTCCTCTTGGCGGTGATGACCTATGATCACTACGTGGCCATTTGTAACCCTCTGCACTATTCTCTAGTGATGAACCACAAAGCCTGTATCCAGCTGGTGGTTGGTTCATGGATCAGTGGAATTCCAGCGCAGATAGGCCAAACATGTCAGATTTTCTCTCTGCCCTTTTGTGACTCTAACCAAATCAACCACTTCTTCTGTGACATTCCCCCAATGTTCAAGCTGGCCTGTGGAGACATCTTTATGAATGAGATGGTGGTGTACATATTTGCTGTATTGCTTATCACTGTTCCCTTTATGTTGATACTGGGGTCCTATACTAGAATTATCTCAACCATCCTGAAATTGCCATCAAACAGTGGACGGAGCAAAGCCTTTTCCACTTGTTCTTCCCACCTCATAGTTGTAGTTTTATTTTATGGATCAGCCACTATTACCTATTTAAAACCCAAATCTGTTCAGTATGAGGGAACAGACAAACTGCTATCTATTTTTTTACACCATTTTGATCCCAATGTTTAATCCCATGATATACAGTCTGCGGAACAAAGATATCACACAGGCTCTGAAAAAATTACTTCCCAAATCGTTAGCATTTTGAGACACTTAAAATATCATAAATTATTACTTTACATATTTAATTTTTATAAAGATTTAATTGATTTAATTTTATTTTAATGGACTCATATCCTCAAAGTTATGAAATTTTTAAAAATTTTATTTAGAAATGCACTACATATAAAGATATGATATAATTTATAGTGGGCCCTATAACTGAAGTTAGACCATTTTCCATTCTTTTGTTGAAGTTCTTCTAGGGAATATTTTAACTTTTTTTATTAAAGAAACAAAACATTCTTAAAGCCTACAAGGTCATTACTAAATAATTAATCAATAGAAATAAAAGCCTAAATACATAAGAATATAATGTATACAAAAAAGACAGATGCAAATAATAATTATGCAATATAATGTGTATTGTAACATTAGTTGTCTACCAAAAAAAAAAAGCAAAAGTGAATGCTTACATTGAGAACTGTTTTAATAAATATGCATTAATGCAATAATAATTATGTAGTCATTAACAAGAACATGTTACACCTACATGGTAATAACCCCAATTTTTGTGTCTTATATCCATGTGTTTTTGTTGTCCTCTCCCACACTGACTCTTGGTTTAGCCGTGTGATTAGCTGGATAGCTATTTTTAAAGTTTTTAACGTGTTAACATATTATTAAAAAACCTCTAATAGTTTTTTAAACTCCATATTATTTTTAGAATTTTAAAATTTGCTAATCTCTTTCTTTGTCAGATTTTATTTTTACTTGTTTTTAAGGAATGCCCATGGGTAGCAGATTTTTATATTTCCTGCATATTTGAAAATTTATTTCATGAAATTAAAGTCTGGTTTAAAATAAAAGTTCATGCTACACAGGAGATCAAGATTTAAAAAGTCCATCAGTCATAATACAAAGAAGAAAATTATACACACTGTCAGATGTTGAAAGTGTGGATAAAAATGAATGACCTAACTTTTATCAATCTACAGTAGCCAACATGCAGCATATTTGTCCTTTTTACAGAAAATTTTCACCAAGATAAATCAAAAACTGGAGCGTAAAACAAATCTCTGTACTTCAGTAAGAGAAATACCACATGCTCTCACTCATAACTGGGTACTGAATTCATAAATAAAAAAATGAACGGTAAAGAGAGACAGAGAACAAGAAGGAAAGAAACGGGCTGGCCCGGTGGCGCACTCAGTAGAGTGCGGCGCTTGAGAGCGCGGCGGCCCTCCCGCCGAGGGTTCAGATCCCATATAGAGACCGGTCTGCTCACTGGTTGAGCGCGGTACGGGCACAACACTGAGGGTTGTGATCCCGTTACCGGTCACGAAAACAAAAGACAAAAGGAAAAAAAAAAAAAAAGGAAAGAAACAACAATCACAGTAACATTGAACTTTTAGAAAACTAGGGGTGGAAAAGGGGAGGGGAGGAGGAAGGGAGGGGGCTAGTGAGGAATTGGTCAACAGACACAAAGAATGATTGCGTATTGTAATGACATATAAGCTAACTATACTGATTTAACCACCAGGCATTGTACACAATTATTGAAAATCAATGTTGTACCCCACATGTATGTACAATAAATTATCAAAAACAAAATTTTTACATTAAAAAATGAAAAATATTAATACAGAATCTTTTCTCTGGCAGCAATGAAATTAAATTTCAATTTGATTTTTGTTGTTTGGAACGGTGCATGAGGAAATTTCTGCATGAGAGGGACATATTCACTATTTTATGGTGATGATAGCTTCACTGGCTTATACATATGGAAAACATCAAATTATGAGCTTTAAATATGTACTCATTAATATGTTTCCAATATACATTAATGATACTAATCAAAAAATATCAAAATTTTACAAAATCTGTTAGAAAAAAAAATATCTAAGAGAATTTACTACTAGCAGGCCTGGTCTATTAGATATAGGGGGGAAAAATTACCCATTTATTTATTTCTATATTCATTCATTTATTTTTATTACCTCCCACATATCAGTGAGAATATGCAGTATTTCTCTTTCTGTGCCAGGCTTATTTCACTTAATATAATTTTTTCTAAGTCCATCCATGTTGCTGCAAATGGTAGAATTTCATTCTTTTTTACAGCACAGTAGTATTCCATTGTGTAGATGCAACACATTTTCCTTATTCAGTCATCTGAAGATGGGCATTTAGACTGAGTCCAACTCTTGGCTATTGTAAATAGTGCTGTAATGAACATGGGAGTACAGGTGTCCCTTCGACATGATTTCCTTTCCTTTGGGTATGTACCCAGCAGTGGGATCACTGGGTCATATGGTAGATCTATCTATAATTGTCTGAGGAATCTCCATACCATTTTCCATTTGAGCTGTACCATTTTGCAGTCCCATCAACAGTGTAGGAGGGTTGGTTCCCTTTTCTCTGCATCCTCATCAGCATTTATTATTCTCTGTCTTTTGGATATTAGCCAGCCTAACTGGATTGAGATGATATCTCAAAGTGGGTGTAATTTCCTGAATGCTGAGTGATGTTCAGCATTTTTCCATGCGTTTGTTGGCCATTTGTATATCTTCCTTTGAGGAATGCCTATTCAGCTCCTTTGCCATTTTTTAAATGGGTTACTTGTTTGTTTGTTTGTTTTTTTGCTGTTAAGCTGTTTAAGTTCTTTGTATTTTATCATTATATTCCTTGTATATTGTCATTACCCGGTTGGACAATGGCACTATTTTCCTAATAATGAAACTGGACCCTATTCTCCAGACCCCCATATATTTTCCCTGGCAATTTTTCTTTCTTGGAAATCTGTTATGTATCAGTTACTCTCCTGACAATATTTACGAATTTTGTGACTCTGAGAAGAACAATATCTTTAGTCTCCTGTGTCACAGTAATGTGTGTTTCCTTCTGGCCTTGATGGTATATGGCTGCTATGGGGGCATTTGTAACCCTCTCTACTATCTTCTAGTGATGATTCATACATCTTCTCCCAGCTGGTGGATGGCTCCTGGATCAGTGGAGTTCCAAACCAGATAGGACAGATGTGCCAGATCTCTGTGACATGCTCCCAATAAGTAAGCTGGTCTGTCAGGACACCTTTGTGAATGAAATGACGTTCTACATAGTTGCTGTGTTTTTTGTCTCTGTTCCATTTCTGTTAATAATTACCTCCTATGGCAAAATTATCTCCACTGTTTTTCAGTTTTGATCAGTGACAATTCAGACCAAAGCCTTCTCCATCTGTTCATCTTATGTTATGCTTGTGGCTTTGTTTTTGTATCATGCATTATTACCTATTTAACCCCGAAGACCAGTCATTCATCAGGAACTGACAAGCTGCTTTCTCTTTTCTGCATGATTGTGACTCCAATGTTTAATCCCATGATATAGTCTAAGGAAAAAGGATGTCAACGTGCCACTGAGAATATGATTACATAAATAATTTACTTAATTAAAATATGAATTATACTTTCAGACTTAGCACCTTCTTTATTGGTAGTAAAATTTCAACAGATATTTGTCCTTACCTCTATTTTTTATCTACCTATACAGTAGTAGTTATTTCCAAATTTGAAATTACTGGTACTTTTGAGAGACTCCTCTGTATTAATTGATGCAGGTTGTTTATGTGTCAGCAAATAGAAAATCATTCATTCAGTAATTCTATCATTTTATTGTGCAGTGAATTTTGTCAGTAAGAATTTTTGACAAGGATTGATGTGATATTGTCAATTGAGATATAGATTCTAATGTATCACTTATTTGAAACCGTATAATTCATTTCCATGTAGTTGTAACTGCCATTTTTATAATTTTACAATTTTGTACTTTGGCCTTGAGTTTTAATTAAACATTATATATTCATTTTGGCCTAGTGATGAATCTCCAGAGAAACCATTTCTAGAATAAAAGCACTTTTCAGTGTGGATGGAATATTACAAATGATGAAAAATAAATGATGCTGGTGCAATACCACCAAGTATCAGGCATCATTTATGTATGTCAGAGTAAATGATTTAAATAAATAATCATTTATTTTATTATCATAAATTTTTAAATAGGCATCAGGTATAATAATAACAGATGCCATACATAAACCTGTATACCACATACATGCACGCACACACACACACACACACACACACACACACACACACACCCATACATAAACCTGTATACCACATACACGCACACACACACACACACACACACACACACACACAGAGAAATTGCTCAGTGAAAATGCTATCATCATTGTTACTGTGGATATCTAAGATTAAATTGCTCTATTATTTTTGCTTTGCCTACTAAAATTTTGCTATTTATCACTATGAATCTCTGTTATCCAGGTGATCAAAGAAAACAAACAATGAATCTATACTCATTGCAGAGAAGGAAAATAGTACGTTAGTTGATTGTGCTTTTTCTCTGTTCATAGTGATACAAATAACCGTATTTATTTTTAGAATTTCATGTTTATCTAAAGCATTCTTCATATATTCAAACAGCAGATTTTTATAGAATCATGATCTGCCATCAGGATTTATGGTGGAAAACAGTGCAGAGAAGCTTGTATTTTCTCTTATAACTTTTGCCCAGAAGTGAGGAAATTTAGTTCTATTCGTACTTATATGGGAATATATAGCCCCAAGTGGGTAGAAAATTGCACTGCAATTTTCGACCTGGTGGAAGACAGCAAGAATGTGCACTAACAACCCTGATGACAAATTTAAGAAGAAATATATTCTTAAGCCAAAAGCAAAACAAAAATGAGTGTCATCAAGATTTTTAGAAAAACAGATATCAGAAACTATAAAAATCTAATGAAAGTAATTGGAATCAGGGGAAGAATGGAAAAAAAAAAAAAGAGAGAGAAATAATAAGAGAAATAATACCAGAACAGTTTTTTTGCAGAAAATACTGAACACAGACCAGTGAACTGAGCAGAATGTAGGGGATATTGCTGAGGCACAGAATCATAATAGATAATTATGATTATCTTAATCCATTAATCTTGATGTGGTTTTTAAATACAGCAA